TTAATAATAAAAGTCATTCAGAATTTAACTAATTTTTATAATTTTTATATAGTCAAACATTTTTATAGTCACATCCATTTATAATCACACTTCTCTATAGTTACATTCTCTTTATAGTTATTAAATTTTGCTTTTTTTAGAATGATGACTATAGAAAGGTTTAACTATATTAAATAAAAAATAATTTAAACTAACTATTTATATTATTATTTTATACTTTATTCAAGAATAAATAATGCAATATTTTTCTAAAAAAAATAAAATAAAAAATTATTTTATTTTAAAAAATATATTTTAAGTATTATTATTATCAATTTGCTATATTAAAACTTCAAATTATACAAGTAATTTGCTATAAATTCTGGTTTAATTTGGTTTAAGCTTGAATTAAACTCAAATCTGATCAAAAATCCAGTTTCAAAATTTGAATTTAATTAAAAAAAATTTAAATATAATTTGAATTTCAAATCAAATTTTGAATTCAAGTAAATATTCAAAAATATTCTAAATAAATTTGTAAATTATAATTAAATTACAAATTAATATAATATAAAATAATATAAAATATTTATTTTTTATAAAATTATTAAATTTTAATAATTATTATATAATAATACTTTACTATATAATTTAATATTAGTTAATCAAATAATTATATTATATAGAATATTAATTTACAATACTAAAAAATAAATTATTATAATATTATTAAAATAAAAATAAAAAATTTCTTTTTTAAATATAGTTTTACTTAAAAATTATTAATTTGAAAGAGAATTTTTTTTATTTAAAGATTATAATACTTTTTATAAAATAATTAATTAGATAATTAATATTATTTTATTTTTATATAAGAATGTTAATTTAAAAATATTATTAATTATTATAAATTTAAAAATATAATAAATATTTACTAATAATACTTAAATATTTATCAGTAATAATATTTATAATATTAATTATTATACTAATTAATAATATTTTTATTAACAAATTCAAAATTTTAGTTAAACTATAATTTAAGTTTGAAAAATTTAAACTTGAATTAAATTATTATATAAATTTGAATTTAATTAAAATTAATATATATTATATAATAATTTATAATTCTAAATATAACTATAAAAAAGTTTAATTATATTTAAAATTTTTTAATATTAGATTTAATTATATATTATAAAATATAAATAATATAAAATATTTATTTTTTTATAGAAATATCAAATTTTAATAATTATTATATAATTTAAGATGAATAATATATATTATATACTATCAAGTTATTATAGAGATAAATTCTCTTTTTTTCTCTCTCTCTCAAAATGAAATTTTTATTATATTTTAATTGGTTAATTATTTTTGATAAGATTTTTAAGATTCCTCACTCATCTCTAATAATTATATAATATATATTACTTTCCAATACTCTAGGAAAATCCCTGATGGAGTAATCTTAGTTTGGCCAGTTTGACAGGGAAAAGCAGAAATTTACTAACTGAACGATTAATTTCAGTAATTTTTTTTGATAATTATTTCTTTTTTTTATATTTTATTAATTAAATAAAACTAAAATTTTATAATTTTTTAAAACTCCAACAAATCAAAAAAATTTTCTTATTAAGTTATAATTTTATTAAAAAATTATTAATTTAAAAATAACTTTTTTAATAATAAGATATTTGTTAATAAAATATATAAATAAATAAAATATTAACTTAATTTTTATATTATTTATATTAGTTTATTTAATATAAATTTAGTTTTATTTATATTATTTATAATTTTATTTTATTTATAATTTTTTACTTTAATTACAAAATTTTATTTATTTATTTAGTTTTATTATTTCTTAAATTATTCAGCAGGCAAATTTGCCCGCTAAAATTTTTTTAGTTTATTTTTGTATATTTATTTAAGTTAACCTTTCTTTTTCTAAGCTAAAATAAAAATATAATATAAAATTTGTAATTTGATTTATAATTGCTCAAAATATTTGATTAATTTTTTAATTAATTCTATAATTTTATTATAAATATTTTTAAAATTAAGATTAATAATAAAAATTTTATACTTACTTATTTTTATCTTATAAATAACTATAATTTTTTTATAATATTAAAAAATGAAAATAACTATTATATAATATATAATTAAAGCTAAGATTAAACAAACCTTTTAATATATTTTAATTTTTGGTAAAAATATATTAAATATAAATTTTAGCAAACAAATTTGCTCACTATACTTGATGGTTTAAGAGATAATCTTTTGTTTCAATTATAAAATTAATTTAATAAATTAAATTATTTATATTATTATAATATAAATTTTAGCAAATATTTTTATTGGATAATTATATTATTTAATATTAATTTAGAATATTTTAATAAATAATATTTATTATTATATTATTGAATAATTATTTATAATTAGTCATTGAATTTTATTTGTTAAGAATTTTATTTTATAAAATAAAATATAAAATATAATAAAATGAAATATAAAAATGTAAAATATAAAATTTAAAATTTAAAATATAAAATATAAACTTATTTTTAGGTATTTATATATATTTATTATCTCTTAAACCATCTAGCGTACAAAATTGAACACTAAACATTTTGTCTTACATTTTAGCTTGCATTTATAATTTATAATTTTCTTATTTTAAAGATCAAAATCATACAACTAATTGTTTTTATAGGTATTATATATAATAGATTGTTTCAATTTTTACTATGCTTTTTTTTATTTCCAGTATTGTGGGGGTGTGTAAATTAAATTAAATAATTAGAATTATTAAATATTATAAGGATACTAATTAATTAAAATCTCGATATAACGATGACAGCCCAAAAACACTTCTAATAAAATATAACGATTTAGATAATAAATTCTCAATATAACAGTATTTACATGATTATCTCCGACCTATCGTTTTGACTGGACAAAGGTCTTGAAACACTTTTAATTTATTCATATTTTGTGGGTCCATTACTATTATCGTTATCAATGCATACCTGATGTTTTGTAGAGGTCGGTTTGTTAATTTTCTTTCCATAGATATTTATCTGGTGGCCAACTATCAATGTTTTGTCACCTTTAAGCCAATTATTTACAATACAAATTGGTGCATTTTCATTTTGGAAGCAATAATCTCTGCCATTAAATTTTTCTTGAATTCAATTGTTTTCAAAATTTTTATATAGTTTATTTCTTACCGAATCAAATATCACACAATAAAATCCACACCTCCTTTTGAACTAGTTCGGTTTACAAACCATTCTCTAAACAAATTGATCAGTAAATTGTCGAGATTTTTCGGTACCGAGCTGAAACCAAACAAATTTACTGTTATCTTTTATGTCGCGAATATACATTTAAAAATTCTTTTGCTAACGCTAAATCCAAATGTATAAATCTTTATCATGCATATAATATACTACTTATTTTCTTTAAAACGGTCGCAGTTAATTTCGATACACGAAACTGATATTTTTACTGAACCCGTTCTATGGTGTATACCATTTAAAGTCATCAAAAGTTTGTATTTTATAAAACGTATAAACTTCTCAACTAAGAAGTAAATACAAAATTTAATCCGTGAATATGCTCAGAAGGGCCTATTCTATAATATTTACGGATTAAATTTTGTATTTACTTCTTAGTTGAGAAGTTTATACATTTTATAAAATACAAACGTTTAGATGGTATGCACCATATGTATCATATTTTGCGGAATAGAATACTCCCTTAACATAGTATCACCTTTCCTTTTTTAGTAAAAATCCGGACTAATAGTGTTCCGAATTGTTCTGTTCGGTTCGGATAGGTTTGCTGAGTGATTCAAAACTAAACCGAACCGAAATGTCGGTTTGGTTTGCAATCCGAAGATGCAAAGGGCTAATCCGAAATCAAACCGAAAAGAACGGTTCGATTTCTAAATTTAGCTTAAATAGAAATGAACGAAATATATATTCCAGTTTATTGAGTTTTACCTATGATAGCAAATATTTCCAAGGACGAACGGAGTATCGAAGGCATAAGACAAAGAAATTTAGTCCCATATTTTATTCCAGACCTCTATAAAAAGATTCCAAACACTTTTTGAGCGCGATATCTCGACACCCAGTAGCACAACTAGATAGATCGACTGTTGGTATTTTTGTATCTAATAACTAGGTGTCGAGATATCGCGCCCGAGAATTGCCATTCGTTAAAATTCCGACGAATGGTAGTTGTTGAATTCGTACAAAAATATCGCCATTCGATTCAGAACAACTAGATGAACGGATGTTAGTATTTTTGTGTGAATCCGATGGCAGGGGTGTCGAGATATCGCACCCGAAAAAGTAGTTGGCAACTTTTAGTATGTGGCAAAATTGACAAATCGTTAGAATATATTATTGTAGTAAAAAATTTGCGTTATCGTTATATGGTGCATAAAATCTAAAGTCATCAAACGTTTGTATTTTATAAAATGTATAAATTTATTTACTAACAAGTAAATACAAAATTTAATCCGTGAATATGCTCAGAAAAGGCCTATTCTATCATATTTACGGATTAAATTTTGTATTTACTTCTTAGTAAAGAAGTTTATACATTTATATAAAATACAAACGTTTGATGACTTTAGAGTTTATGCACTGACCCATCAAACAAATAATTTAAAATAAGAATATTGCAATTTTATAAATCAAATTATATAACTATCATAATAATACATGTACGTATAAGAATATTTTAATTTATAATTGGCATCTCCATGTTACATTTTGGCAATACCGATACCGAACATTACTACGTAATCATGTGTGTGATACTACTTTCATAACACTAACTCGAAAAAGCAATTAAAATAAATAATAATTTGGCTGTTTTTAGCGAAGCTATAAAAATGAGCGGATTCCCTGCTTTTATTCTATTTAAATTCTAAAACAGTTTCTTTTGATTAAGGCTTGTTTAAAGACAGAAATTCACAAATTCAAAAGTTAAAAATGGGGAACCAGCATTCAAAAAAATCAAAACAACAACGAGGCTCCAAACATTCTTCCAAAGAAATTTCCAGTACAAGTACGGATGAATGTCCCCCACGATTAACTGATTCGAGTTTTCGTTACGTAGATGGCCGAAAATATTATCGAGACACTCCTTGTGTATTCCCAGTTGATAAAAGGGAAACGACACGAAATGAAGAAAAACAAATCATAGCGAAACTTTTATGGCAAAGAAATTTCTCCGCACCAATCGGAGATCATTTAAAAGCTGGAGGCTTAAAAATACTGGACGTTGGGTAAGTGTCTATCGAGTCTTTTGTCTTATAATAATGATGACATCTAATTCATAAATAATCATTTTAGATGTGGTCCAGGAACATGGATACTCGAAATGGCCAAAACATATCCATCATGCTCATTCATAGGTGTTGATATTTCCCAAGATTATCCATTAAGTGACCTGCCGGAAAATGTTGAATTCATACAAGCCAATATACTTGATCGTCTACCAATCGAAAGCAACGAGTTCGATTTCGTGGTCATGCATTTTCTGAATGGTTGTTTCACAATACGACAATGGGAATCAATAATCATTCCAGAAGTATCTCGCGTTATGAAACCTGGCGCATGGCTTGAG